CGGTGGTTTAGAATGGTGTGAAAGGCAATTTGGTAATAACATCCTCTACATCGATTAAGTCATTAACGTGGTACTTCAAAGATAAAATCTAGAATAAATAAAACCAAAAATATCGATTTCACATTTCGCTGAACTGTGGGTCGGAAAACATGTCCTTTGCTATTCTATAATTATATATATATATACTAATACCACACACACACTCACTTAGGCTTAAGTCTAACACATGGCAGAATTCTAGTGCCTTCTCTCACGTTAAACCTATACTTCTGTCTACACTCAATCAGATCCCTTAAACCCTAATTCTTTCTTTGTCTTCTGCAACCACAAGTAATTCACACTATCGCTTGTTTCCTTCAGTTCCCGCTAGCACCAATAAACTCCATCGTCGTCGTCGTCGTCGTCGCCACCTCCGCCGCCGCAAACCATTACCTGTAAGTATATCCTTTTTAATTCATTCAAATAGCTCTTTCAAAACCCCTGAATTTTGTTTATTTACACGATCAATACTAGATATTATCTTCGTGTTCTGATTCTGGTTTTTTTATTTTTTTCTTAATACTTTATTTGTAGCATTCAAGAAGTAATTAATCGGGAAAGTTTAAAGCTTTGATTGAGTAAGACTCGATATTCTGTTTCCTACGAAGCCATGGCTCGTTTTCGGAATGTAAGTGAATATCCTCCTCTTTGGTTTAGTTTGAAGTAAATTGCTGAATATTATGTTATTTAGTGGTATTACATTGAAGAAAATCTAGCATATGAAAAGAATCATTTTTGTAAAAGCACTTTGAAAATAGTTTTGCTAATGTTAATGTCAGTGTGCATAGTTTCTGATTATTATTTTATTATTTTCATTAAAACAGAAAAATAAAAAGGCATTTGTGAAGCCGGTTGGGAAGAAGAAGCAGCCTACTGTAGATCACATCACAGGGGATAAGATCCCAAAGAGTTTTGTGTTTTCCCGAGGGAAATTGCCTGGTCCTCTCAAGCAGCTTGAATTGGACATAAGAAAGTTGATGCTTCCGTATACTGCTCTCAAGCTTAAGGTAAAGCTTTATTTGTTTTCTGATTTTGACTTTCCTTCTTTGTGTCTTGTTCTTGTTTACTTGAGCTCGTTTCGTTAAACTTGATGATGAATTCTTGGAATATACATTAATAAGGATTATTGGTTTTGTTGGGGAAACCTTGTTTTCATGAAGTATTATGCTCAATGAGACTAATAGATTATAATGTAAAATCAAATCATTAGCTGATTTCTCATAAAGGTGTTTAAAATTTTGAACAATGAATTTAGTTGAGCCATGGACATGATTTTAATTCTAGAGGACCCTTAATTAGTTTGTTTTGATTGATATTTGCAATATCCAATGGTTTTCTTCTAATTTTCTTGTTATATGATTGCAGGAGAAAAAGCGGAATAATCTTAAGGACTTCTTGAATGTTGCTGGGCCAATGGGTGTTACACATTTCCTCATATTGTCAAAGACTGAAACTGCTCCATACTTGAGGGTTGCAAGAACTCCACAGGGCCCTACTCTCACGTTTAAAATACATGAGTACTCATTAGCTGTTGATGTTGCACGATCTCAAGTGCGTCCTAGATGTCCTCAAGACCTTTTCAAAAATCCTCCTTTGGTAATTTTCTCTTTAGCATAAATACATTCTGATTGTTGCTTTCAGTTTGTAGATTTCCTCATTATAAACCGGCCAGCTATATAGAATATATTTTTTTTCATTTTACTGGCTCTAAGTATAATATTCCTTTTGTCAATGAAGCCTGGTTGTAAAGTACTTATTAGCAGAACCCTATAGATGGTGGGTCCAACCCCCTGACTCTCAAGTTAACTTGCATTTTTTCTGTTCACTTATGTTAGATTTTATGTTTGCTTCTCAACAGATGATTGGACTGAAGCAATATGTTTATTCATAAATTGATCTGATCAAGTAATGGAAGTTTTGTTCTTTGTTTACATGCTATTCCACTAACCCATGTTTTTTGAATATGTTGTTTTGGCAGATTGTTCTTTCTGGTTTTGGAACTGGAGATCAACATCTAAAGCTTACAACCGTTATGTTTCAGAACATCTTTCCAGCCATTGATGTTAACACTGTGGGTGGTTAGACAATATAACTCTAATGCTAGTATCAGCTGGATATTGCTCCTGTGCTTAATGTTATTTTATTATGTTTCAGGTCAAGCTTTCTACTTGCCAGAGAATTGTGTTGCTAAATTACAATAAAGACACCAAGCTTATTGATTTTCGACATTATTCAATCAGACTACAACCTGTAGGTGTTTCTCGTAGACTTAGAAAATTTGTTCAGAACCATCAAGTCCCTGATCTCAGGAGTCTTCAGGATGTGAGTGATTTTGTTACCAAGTAAGTATTCATAATCATTTATATATGTATGCTAATCTAATTTCTATTTAGCAAGAGTTATTGAGTTTATGCCATCACTTCATTTCTAGTTTTGGTGTGTGTGTACTATTCAGCATAGTGGTTAATTTATTTGTTCTAATATAAAGCTATTTTGGGTAGTGGCTAGATGCAGATCTGTTGATTGATTATTTGGTTGTCTTATTGTCTAATCTGAAGACTTATAGTTATATGTCTAATTATGGAGAATTAACAATTATAGTGTTTGAGCTGATTGTTGAAGAAAGTATGTCAGCTTAAATGATTAGGATCTGTATCTATGTAGTAATTCTAATTTTAAATCAATTGGACATGAAATTTCTGGCTTGAGTTTTTCTGGCCAACTTAGACAGTTACTTGTATTTCCTTCTAATAATATGTAATTCATGTCGCTGGAGGGGGCGTATCCTAGTGGGAATAATGTAATTGTATGCTGAGATTTGACAATCCTTTTAGAATTGAAGAGAAACATATATAAGAAGGCTTTCCTTGCAGTATGTATGTACTGAATTCTGTAATTCCTTGAGTAGTTTAGGGTTTAATGACACATTCATACTTGGTCTTCTTGATTTATTTTAATTCATGTTGTTCTTTCCATGTGGCTTTTGAAGGGCTGGTTACGGGTCAGAAAGTGAGGCTGATGATGAAGCAGCAACAGTGACTCTGGTGAATGATCTTGGTAGAGTCAATCGGGCTTCTACAAAAAGTGCTGTCAAGCTTCAGGAGATTGGACCCAGAATGACTTTGCAACTCATGAAGATTGAGGAAGGATTGTGTTCTGGTGGAGTCATCTTTAGTGAATATGGTATATGTCTATCTCATATATACATGTAATTTATGCAACCGTGTGTAAATCCGTATTGTTCGCCATTCTCCCTTGTCCTTGTTCATCCCTGAAAATTGATAAGACTTAATGTAAAATTTCTCAAAAGTTATATCTCTTTTTCCCCCTCTTTTTTCCTCAGGACCCGTTGGTGATAAGAAAAAACAGGACAATAAGAAGGCAGAGGATCAAGAAGATACTGAAGAAAGCGAGGATGAGGACAACGGTGAGGATGAGGTAGAGGAAGAGGAAGAGGAAGATTAGTAACATTCCGAATTGCGAGTACCATACTTTTTTCATTACATGAAAACAGTTTTGACAGCCACTACGGAGTTGGTGCTTCAGAAGATGAAAGGTACCTCTATGAAAGAGAGTTTTTATTTATCAAGGATTTTGGCAGCACTAGCACTAGTGACTTCATAATTTTTGTATTTTTGTTTTAGCGATGTACTTGGGTGCCTATATGAAGAGGAATGATTATTTATCAAGGATTTTGGCTTCACTAGCGTTAGTGATCCCCATACTTTTTTGTTTTTGTTTTATTGTTGTAAAAGATAAGATTTTCCAGGTTCAGAGAATGTAATGTTAGTACTGTGTATAGTTTCTTGATATGACTTGTGAGTGATTATCTAGAAATCTTTCTCAAAAGAAAAAAAAAATGCATATTAGAGGAATAAACACAATTTATTTAAACATTTATATGGCTTTCTTGGAAAGTATAATTTAAATCACAAGATACTGCATAGGCATAGGATTCTACTATGCTTCAGGCCTGGAATTTTCTCACAAACTGTAGAAAAGAATGCAGAACCTTTAGATTGTACGGAAAAAAATTCTTTGCAAATGCATGTATATACAATTGGCTAAAGTCACACACTTTGATGTTACGCGTTTTCATTAACGGATTGTATGTGTATCTGGGGGTGGGCAGGTCCAGGTACCTACCCAAATCCCATGGTACTACAACTGGCCGGTTCTTGGGATTTGGAATCGGAACCGGCCAGTTTCTTAAATGCTTGAAACCAGAATCTGAAACATAGGTCTTGATTTTGGTTTTCAGTACCCGGGAAAATTATGAATACCCCCTACTATTCTAAAAAACTAATAAATATACTCTGTGAAAATTAAAATACACTTTCAATTGTTTACAGAAATTACAAATACACTCGATTTTTACTTGGGTATTCGGATCTCGATTCCAAATTTGGTTCTAGTTCCTATAGTGGTGGAACCGAAACCAGAATCGCACAATACCAATTCTACCCTAAATTCCTGCACACCCTTATGTGTATCTTAGGACTGAAAACTTTTGGGATTGCGATAAAAAAATCCAGAGGGTTAATTTTTGGGGGACGATATGAATCATTACACTTAAATCAGGAGTTACTTGAAATAAAAATCATTTAATCATGTTTGCAATTTTGCATAGACTAATAGAAGCAAGATGAGTAAGCTCAGGTAGAAACAAAAGAAATATTGATATGCTTAAAGAAACTCATTTTTTCATCTATTTGCTTTCTTTCTCTTGTTACTGAACATTGACTAAACACTAAACAAACAGTAAAAATTCCTGGAAACCAAGAAATTTCTGGCTTCACTTCTGCTTGGTTAGAGAAAAGATTGGTGAGTGATATTGAACCTCTGTCGCTTATAGTAAACACGACGAATCGAAAAAAATGCAAATGCCAATCAGCTTCCTGTTCTGAAAGCTTTGGATTTCATTTCCACTATCAAATATTTACTGAGAAAGAGAGACACAGAGAGAGAGAGAGAGGGGAGACTAATAAGCAAGCCATCATCCATTTATACATCAATTAGAATACACAAAAAAGACAAAGAGGAGCAAAAATAGACTTAAGACAAACTTAACTACGAGGATATCTCCAGGGCTATATTTCTGTCTAGGAGGAAGTTTTCCCCAAAATAACTAATTAAATACATCAAACTTGTGATATTTGATAATATATATGATTCTTAAGCAAAAAGCTGAACTCAAAACACTTTGACGATCTTCAGAAATTACTTTCTTTTTGGCGTTTTCAATATACCCTTTTCAAACTAACTTCGGTTCTTGCACTTCTCCATTGCCCTTGGAGCTGCAATCAATTGGATATCTGAAGTCAATTTTAAGAAGACTTAACATATATAACGAAAGAAAATATACAGAACTTGGTTAAAAAAAAAAAGTCATGTCGCAAGAGAAGCAGAAGATTATACATACCCAGTCCGATGGCCTCTGAACCTTTCATGATTCTTAGTCTTCTACAAGTGTCGGTGAACATACTGTTCGACGAAAAAACAGTAACAGAATCAGAATAAAATAATTTTGAACTAGGCATAAGATATAAAATTTACAGCTTATTGCAGGATATCAGATCAGAGGATTTAGATCAAGCTGGCTATAGAGATGCTGCCAAGTAATTTCTCAACTTCCATTGGCAACAAATCATATCAGACATAGGCAAATTTATGATATTTTGCTGTACGTTTTCACTTTCTAAACTAAAACTATACAATCCAGGGTGAAGAGTTACATATTCACTGGGAAATTATTCAAAGACTCAGAGAAGAATACATAAATGGTGAAAAGTACTTACTCCCAAGGTACATCGCCAACGAGCATCCAATCACCATCCTTGTCTTCATATGTAAGCACATATTCAGAACCATGGAGAAGATCCATCAAACAACTCTCACTCAGGCCATCTCGCCCTGGAAGTCCATGAGAATCACACTGGCCTGAATTCACAATGATTCATAAACAGTTAAACACAAGTCAAAATATTCACCAGTGCTACTAATCAAAACTTCCAGCAATAGCAAGTAACAAGGTTGATTCCTAATTTGAAAACTCTTTAGAGCTTAAATTGACATAGATTGCAAACATGTTCGGCAATTGTTGCCAAAACATATCGATTCATGAACAGGACAAGTAAATGAAAGAATTAAGTGAGGGAGTATACCAATGGTGAAGCAACTGAACATTTTCTCAAGAGCTGATGAGAGTTCCACATAATTGCTGTTGATTTTGAGATCAACTTTCCTTAGATATGGAGCACCATCCATGCTAACTTTTACATAGAGACACCCAGATCCTGACTTGGCTTCAGCATCATCATTGTTCTTTGCCAAATTAGAGGCCATAGTGTTCTTCCTGAATGATCTGATTGGTGGCCATCCCACCACCTGTGCCCTGTTACCACCAAAAAAAAATCGATTCACTATTGCATCCATATGAAGGATTGAAATTTAAAAAACATAAGAAAATGCGAATAAATAAATATAACAAGCAAAAAAGGCCCCAACTATTTGTTTTCATGAGATTACATATGCAGCTCAGAAAAATTTTCCACAGATTCCAAGCACATGCTGTTACAGAAAAATGAAAAACCAAACAATATGAAAAAGCATACACCAGTTTGTGATTAAACAGAGTTGTGATAAAATTAGAGATTAATTTTAACAGACTAATAACTCTCAACTGAAGCAGATTTATTGGACTAAACTTTCCATAAACCACAGTAAAACAAGCAAAAAAAATGGAAAATTTGAAGGCAGACTTACTTTGCAGCAGGAGCACTACTAGGCTCATTAGCAGCAGGAACTTGATTTTTCTTCTCCGGAACTGTTGGCTTTGGAGAAAGAGGCACAACTCCTGCAGCCTCTTTTATCATCTTACTTTTATCATCCAAACCACCACCTCTAGGAGAATACAGAACACCTCCTTTACACAAATCAGCCTCAGATTTACCATTAATGGACAGACCCCAGTTGCCAGAAGATCCATCAATGGCATCAGAGAATCCCCTTTTAGCCCCAGAGACAATATTCTTCAAAGGGGTAACACAGAACCCATTAGTGTTGTTTTCAATGTCTTTCCCAAAAAGAGACACCCCATGTGGTGTTTTCCTCTCAGGAGAGCGTGAACCCGGCAAGCCAAGCCTCAGCTCAGTCTCTTTGAAGTTGAGACAAGTTTTGTTTTTGCTGTTGTTGTTGTTTAGCTCAGTCGAGCAGGGAGAAGAAGAAGAAGAAGAAGAGAGCTTTTCAGGGCTTCTTTCCATTGAAGAAGTCTTGATAGCCTATGTAATCATGTCAAGTGGTGTAGACAATCAAAGTCTTCACCTCAAATGGAACAAACACACTCAAAATATAGACAAAGAAGAAGATTTCAAGTGCTTCAGAATAAGCAGAGAGAAGAAAGAGGGAGGGAGGGAGAGAGAGAGAGAGAGAGAGAGAGCCGGTTTTGCTAGCAGAAAAAGAAGCTTCCTTGGCCTCTCTGTAGCAACTTGCCACCAATTTTAAAAAAAAATTAAAAATTAAATTTTTTCATTGGGACTGCAAAAAAACTCCTTTACTGTGCAAAAATCTAAAAGCATGAAAGATAAGATTACTTTGATCTCTGAGGAGAAAATGTTATCAAGAGCACAAAGTGCTTCTTGCATAAAATAACAAAAAGCACTTACAAGTATGTTTGAGAATATCAAAAAATACTTTACAAAAAAACTTGTTCAAAAAATATCTAAATGTTTTTTTATCAAAATATTATCTTTATCATTCACCCATTTTGATTAAACTTTTTTTTTTTAATTAGGATATCTAAACCAGTTTGTGTGCATTCTAACTAATATCCGAAGTTTATTAAAAACCTTACAAACTCAAATAACCATATAAGTCACAATGTTATTGTAGTAGATGATTCCAAAATTTGAATCGAGGAATTCAAGGAAACTAACAAACCTCTTTGATCATCATGTTAATCTTAACTTATACACATTTAACTAATTTTTTAAAATCTTAAAACAATAGTGGGAGAAGAATTTCAATAATCATCCTATTAATGTATATTAATGTATAGAAACTCGAATTCAGAAACCAAAAACCCTTTTTTACTCTTTAATAATTTAGATTTAGATATATAGATTGTTGTCGTTGTTGTAGCAACTTTTAAGAAATCAATACGCACCGACAATCAAAAGAACTGAGAATTGCCGGCAAAGCTTTTACTCATTGCTGTTTGTCTCAGTATACTTTATATTATATAAATATAATTTTAGATAGCAGTCGGCTTGAACATTGGTAAGCCAAATCACCCGGTGTTTTTATGTTTCGATGTTCATCGGATTCATGGAGAAATGCGAGACAGAAATTAGGCATCAAGGCACGAATTTTTGATCCTTGTAGTAGCATTGCAGTTAACTCCACAGATTTAAGACAAAAGTCACCACTTTCCCCCCATCTATTAAAGCAACTGAACTCACACATTTTACCAGAATTCAGACATGTTTCATCATTTGATACATCTTCTCGTGTTCTTTCGTGGCATGGGATCTCTGTCGTACAGTTACATGTTCTTGTGTGATAATTTCTTCACATGCCTTTCCTTGTTACTTTATTTTTTGTGTTGGTATCACGTTTGGGAAATGTGAGGTAAATATGCAAGTCATGGGGATTGGCACTGAGGTCGTCGTGAGAAACATACGTCTCGAGTGTTTGACCCGCGACAAAATTCAACAGTGTTGGCCGAGATACTTCCTGTGCATATGCATGGACCAGTAACCAACTAATTTGTAATATCCTTCTTGTCTTGCCTGGATCGAATCAAACATCCGGACAGACGTATATCTTGTTACGTTTTCCATTCGCCATTGGTCTCATTACAATTTTTTGTATCATGTATTATTTTTCTTTTATAACTTTGGATCCTAACCACAGGCTTGTTAATTCATTGGCAACCTCCGACACAGTTTGGCTATTACCTATTATAACACCCTTGTATCTCTGGCTTTTTTTTTTCACATTTCCTTTCACTAGCTAGACATTTCATGGTTCTATCTTACATTACAAATGATATTCATCTATCCCCTCACCTGTCCCATTAATACTATTACCAATGTAATTGCCAATCTCCACGTATTTTTTTCATTACTAGACCCACGGTGTCTCACTTTGTACGTTGTCGAACATCTTGTTTCCAAGACTCCTCTACCAGCGATTCAGTACATGTTCCTCAGACCCCCAGGGCAGCGCACCGCTACATTCTCCCTCTTTCTCCTCCCCCTTTTTCTTTTTCCTTCCGCATCACGTCACCCCTTTTCCCCCCCCCCCCTTTCCCTTTCCCTTTTTCCCCTACCCGTTAGTCATTTTCAACGTTTCCCCTCCTCTCTCTGTTCTTTTCCTTCTTTTCAATGTTACTACATCCCTCTTATGTTCCCCTCTCCTTCCCGTCCCGATGCTCCCTTTTCTGAATTTTCTCCCGGTTTTTTTTCCCCCAGACCTTTTCTGTCTTATAGACTTGGATTTTCAGCCACGCGATCCCTTCTTTCGATTACACACTATTTACGTAGCTTTCCCTCTCCTTTCACTGCTCCTTTACTATATCCCCCCCATAACTTCCACCCTCCCCTCCCTCCCCCTTTCCCCCTCCTTCTCTTCTCCCCCTCCCCCCTCTTTCCCCTTTCCCTCCCCCCCCTCCCCCAAAACATATTATTTTGTGGCCCCCTATGCTATTATTTGTTTATATTGGCAGTATTTTTTTATTATACAATTATAATTTATTATTATATTTATTATAAATATTGTATATTTTGTATTTTTCTACCTGTGTTTATTATTTATTTTATAGGATTTTTAGTTATGATGTTGATTCGATTTTCTTAAAAACCTTAATAAAAAATAAAGTGTATAGTTATTTTGATATATTTTATTGTATAAAAAATAATCATGAATGTATCAGATATTATTATTTTTTTGAATTGTTAGTGCACATTCATACTTCGATACTTTTATACTAATTTTAAAGAAAAATCATCCCAAAAATTTTTTTTTTTATATTTCCTATACCGCACATCCCTATAACGTAAAGTATGTTGTTATTTACTACGTGTCCGTTGTTATAGCACATTGTGGTGTTAATCTCCATGTTTTGCTTTGTACATATGCCATTATGTATTCTCAATTTTTTTTTGTTGCTATGTTTGATTGAAATCATTAAGGGAGGTCCCGGTCCAGCTTACACCTGTGTCAGACAACCTGCCTATTAATTTTTACGTTGGAGTGAATCAATGTTCTAGGTAAGCCAACAAGCACAAATTAAATTAGGTCAATGATCCCAAGATGCAAACTTAGAAGTCAATGAATAAAGCAACTTTCTTGGGGCCCTTTTAATCTCAATTCCTTTTTTTCTTTTTCTTTCTCTCTTTTTTCCCCTTTTTCTTCCCCTTTTTTTTTTCTTTTTTTTTTTTTCTTTTTTTTCCCTTTCTTTTTCTTTTTTTTCCCCTTTTTCCTTTCCTCTTTTTACCCCTCCCCTCCCCGTTCGTCTCCTCCCCCCTCCCTTCTCTCTCCCCCCCCCCTCCTCCCCCTTTTTTTTTCTCCCCTCCCTCTCCCCCCCCTTTCCCTTCCTTTTCTTTTTCCCCCTTTGTAATCCCACCTCCTTTTTATCCCCACTCCCCCACCCAAACTTAACCTTGCTACGTACAGTTCCGAAGAATTGATCAGTGTTCAAGAGACTAATGTCTCTTGACAGATAATCTTCAGTAAGCCACACCCACATGTCATATTACATTAGTATATGCTGTAAATTACAGCGACCAAAAAGTAGAAGGAAAGAGTGGTGAAAGTTTTGTTGAATTAGCGTCTCTATCACACATCATTTGAGTCTGCACTGGCTGTTTCGGTCGCATATAATTGTTTTGCGATGTTGACTCTGGTCTTATCTTGTCCTCCCCTTTTTTACTCGAATTTTTTTTTTTTTTTTTTTCTGTTTCCCCCCACTTCTACGTATTGTTCTTCATCTACTCGCTTCTTCCCCAACCTCTTATGTCTTGACTCGTTTTCCCCCCCCGGTACAGAGAGGATTTAGAACTTTGAATAATATTATTGAGAAACAATGTAGGATATTCTTTTTGTTATATCGATTTCGGTTTTTCTGATTTAGTCATTTGCTGATACAAGAAGATACTAAACTTTGAAAAAAATAAATTGATAAACAAAACAAAACTTCAAAAAGGGAAGAAAAAGTGGAGCAAAATAGAGAATACGTAACCCAGGAATTTATTTGACGGTCAAGAAAGTTTGCTTTATTCATGACTTCCTAAGTTTGAATCTGGGATCATTTACCATAAATTTAATTTGTGTTGTGGCTTACCTAGAACATTGATCCCGAAGATTAATGGAGGTGGTGTGTAAGCTGGACGGGACCCCCCTATGATTAAAAAAAAGCAAAAAAAAAAAAAAAATTGAGATACATAATTTATATTTACAAAGCAAAAACATTATTAACAACATTGAAACATGAAATTAGTAATAACACATAATTTGGAATGGGATTTTCGTAATAGTAAATATAAAATATTATTTTCTTTAAAATAGTAAAAATTATCGAAGGTATGAATGTCACTAAAAATTCAAAAAATATATATATGATAAATGCATGAATATTTTTATAAATAAAATATATCAAAATAACTATAAAAATTATTTTTAATTAAAGGTTGAAATAGCCCATAAATAAAAAACTAAAAATACCGTGAAAAAAAAAATAATTTTTTTTTTTTGTTGTATAAAAATACTGCAATTCAAATTGATTGCCACAAATAATTATGTTTTCGAGTTATTTGTTTATTGCATTTTACTATTTTTATTGTCTACGCGGATTATTTTTACTGTGCGTGCAGTGATTTGTCGGGGTGAATCTCGTGTTACCATGCTCGTATCTACTGTAATAATGTGTAATCTAAAAGAAGGGATCGCGTGCTAAATCCAACGGTCTATAATAAATGAAAAGTCCGACTGCAAGATTCGTCCAGTCGCATCTTGTTGTCCTGATTAGGGGACATAACGGCGTTCATTTTACCATTGACAGAATTTAACCCGACATGATTAGGTCGTTGACCCGTTGACCGCCGTGGTAAACCCGTTAACTTGACCGTTTACCCTTGGTCTTCTAAAGTAAATTAAATGATAAAAGTCTTTTGCTTCTCAATAGTTCTTTCTCTTTTTTTGATTTTTAACTTTAGATATTCTTGACCATATTTTTACTAATTTCTTTTTAAATTTTCTATTAAAAATTTAATGAAAGCTTGAAAATACAACTACATGAATACATAAAATAGTAAATAAAAAAATATCATGTTTTTTAAGATCACTTTTGCGTTCATCAAAAGTTTTTATTAACAAAAATTAAAAAAAAAAAAAAAAT